TAAGTTTATGTCATATTATATTATTGTTTTTATTTTTCTATTATATTAATTTTGATACATTTCTTATCTTCACTTGATGTTTCGATAAAATTGCAATTGAGGCTCCTCTGAGATTAAGCTTATGTTAAATATATTTTTTAAAAATTTACCTTCTATAATCTCCATTTTATTTATCGTATGTAAGTAGAGTTTCAAAACTACCAGTAAATCAGTAATATGAGATGTATTCGCCCTATTTCGTTTAAAGTTATGAAGGACTGATGGTAGAATTTTTCCACATTGATATTAGTAGAGCTGACGTTACCATTGAATTTCACATTGCCCTGTTTTCCTCCAGGGTGGACTGCAGTTTCGACCCCGCATAGGTCTTATCAACACCCCCAGCGGGAGTCGAACCGTGACAGTGCAGAGTGTATGCAACGCTCATGAGTTAGTTGGCAATTTTGATATGTAACTGTGTTTCGATGAGATAACATTATTGTTGGGACTTTCATTTCGTATGAAAGTGTATGAAGAAGAGATTCGAAAGCTGATCTCTCCGGAAGAGGGTGGACAGCGTCAATCTCAACTTCGTATTAAAGCAAAACGGTTGCAGTACAATGGGATTCAACTCTAAAATCCCTTATATCTTCTTTCTCAAACGAAATGAAAGGTATTTCAGTTTTAATTATCATGACTACTATTGCAGAGGATTTCATTAAAACTCTACAATAAGTAATGTAGTCAATTGCTATAGCAAATACAACTTTTATTCATCCAGGTCTTGCCTGAAATTCATATCTTCCCTGTGATGCAAGGACATTTGTGGCGGTTTATCGTAGTGGTTTTCTTGGCAAGACCTTATATATCCCTTCTAAGGTTCGTGTCCCGCCGAGGTCACTGATGAGACTTAGGTGATCTTAAAATTTTAGTTTATCCTGATTGATAGTACCTTTTGTGGAGCAGGGCTATCTGATATTAAAAGTAACTTGAGGCTTACTCATATCATTGAGGTAAACTTCAACTACCGGTCCATCATCATTTTAACGCAATAGAGTGAATATATCTAATATACTGATCTGATCATTCGTAAAAACGTACTTATAAGGCAAAAAATACTCGATAAACTACTTTTTATTGATTTTCTTAGGATTTTTATTTATATTTTTAACAAAAGAGCTGAATCGAGTTATTGATGTCTGACTATTGATCTATTATCATTTATTAACAATTGTTTGAATTTTGCCTGGTATCCTGCTTCTACTGTTACTCCTGAGGCTTTCAGCATTTCAGATTTTCTTATTTTCATTGCGCAGCTTTATCTTCTTTGGTCTGAAGTTGTGGATTCTCTTTCCAAGACGCTTCTGACCCCTAGTTCTGCTTTGGGGCCCAAATGCTCCATGCCTTCCTCCAATACCGTCACCTCACCAGACTTACTCGAAGAAGACTCCATCCTGCTCTCCAATCTTCGCTTCCCCTATTACCACCCTCTCGGACATATGCACATTCTTCCTGCTGATCCACTGAATTCGACGACTTACCCATCTGAGTCTCGATTACACATTGGTTTGGCTACATGGTCTTTGCCAGATAAGGCTTACTCTGAAGCTAATCGTCAGTCGTCACTTTCATTTGTGCCGGCTACTGCTGAGTCGGAGACTACAAGTCAGCTCTTGACACTTGATAAGCCAGACGTGCCATTTTCTAACGACGTTAAAGATGCTATACACGCCACACTTCCATTTTTCCATGGAGTTGTCGCTGCTACTCCATCACCTCCTTTACTACTGTTGGATTCAAACAGATCTGCTCTCGAATGCCTTATGCGCGTGCTGCAACAAGGCTGGATGGCAATTTTAGTTGGGCCTGTAAATTCTGGTAATCATTATACTCATTAATTACACCGAGGATTCTTACTTGTCATATACATGAATCTATTATGTAGTTATTTTAAGACCCAATAGACCTTTATTTCCTCACGGGACTTCGAACTTTTTATTCAACTAACTTTGAACCGTAATGAGCAATTTTAGATGATTTTTTGTTAATATTTGAAATAACTAGATTTATATTGAATTGAAGCCATTTGCTTGCTATATATA